TGTCTTATAGATAATTAACTAAAAGGTGTCTGTTATATTGAGGTGTCTGTCTTATAGATAATTAACTAAAAAGAGTAAAGAAAGGTAGTGACCACTCTTAATGTCCGTTTTAGCGAGTTGTTCGTCCTATAGAGAGTCAATTAGAAGGAGTAACGAAAGGCAGGGACCAATTATAGGTGTCCGTTTTAGCGAGGTGTCCGTCTTATAGAGAGTCAACTAAAAGGAGTAAAGAAGGGCATGACCACTCAGTGCTAGGTGTCTGGTTTAGGAAGGTGTCCCTGTTGTCTTTTAAGAAAGAGTTGGCTGTATATTATCAGTAGAACTGGCTTTGCTCTGTTTCATGTTGCCTGCCTCTTTTATACAGGCATATAAATCTTGGGTGTCAGACAACGAAAAGGAAGGGCAGCTACCGGACTTGAATTTGAGCGTGGATCAACTTTTCTTTATAGGAGTCGCTACGGTAAGTTATGTACATATCGAACACTACTTAGAGGCAACTATGTATTGTTGCAACAATTTTTCCTGGGTTCTTTGTACCCGCAAAATTTGTTACATAGTCTACAGCCCCTGTTGTTGGAAAAATACTGCTTATCTGAAATAACTGCCTGGATTTCCAAGAATTATGTCCGACACAAACTCTTTATTTTCTATACAGGCCAAAAGTCCCTAGATAGTTAGAACGAGATTTTTAGGTGTGGTGTTCAGTATTGGACATTGCTCCTACTATACATAATCCGATATATCAGTCTGCAAAATGTATCGATGTACAAGTAAAGATGACTTTCATGACGTGATGTCCTCACGAAGCATGTATATTTTGTCCAATCTTTGTTAGCCATGGTGTAGTGTCTACAAAAAGAAGGCGGCTCTCTCTCAACTGAGGACTGATCCACACTCGTATGATAAATACAGGTAATTACATCGTTATTTTAACGATCTCAGACCAAGTCTTTTTTTACCGCTTTAGTTGTTTAATTAATTGTATTTCGTTTGGTAAAAACAGTACATCTCTGCATAACCTGTCTCTGGTAGTAAAAGTATGCACACTCCTCCCTTCCCCCATTCACCCCACCCCTCTTTCTTTACAAATGAGACTTACCGGTTGGAAACTCCAGGGAGACCGGGTACAAGCGTTGGGCGCAGCGATTTCTGGGATTGTTTGGGTCGACAAGTGTTAGTTATGATTGGTTGGTAGTATTCAAGGCACAGTAACCAATCATAAGTAACGCTTGTCCACTCAAACTATTCCAGTAATAGTTTCGCAGAAAGCTTGTACCAATTCCCCATTTAGTCTCCGGAATGGGGAATTGACCTGGTATGTTGCGTTTCAAGCTCGAGGAAAACGGTACTTTTTTCGCATAAGATATCGCACAGAAGCTCAAGCGTAACTCTTAATCATGAAATTATATTTGATTCAAGTTCTGGTGTTTCGCTAAGTTAAAGTTAATAAAGCTTCCCACCCTCCTAGTCTTAAAACCCTACTTACCTCTAACCCGCTTTCCTGATATCAAAAGCGGGAGAGGGTGGGTGGGGCCAGTGTTTATAACTTCTTACAATCTGGCAAGTTGATCATCTTGATCCCTGATCTTTTTTGCAGGGTGATTGGATCGCTGTCCAACTTTGAAAGGTTTTCAAAAGCCTTCAGCTGTTCAAGCAGCAAAGAGATGAACCGCGGCGAAGACAGGTGCGCCGTATGGTGATCACGTGATGAGCTGATCGTGTGATGCACGCTTTTAATCACTTTGTTTCGCTTCCGGAACGAGTCTTTTTTTCATCAGATATGTGCTACGTTCAGTTCAACTGAGTTAGAGCTTTTTTTTATGTAACCAGTTGTTGTGTTAGTTCAAAGGCGGCGAATATTGAATGTGTTATAAGCACGCCGTTAAACTTTTTTTAAAGCAAATATGTATAAATAATCCTTGTACACTAATTAAAAGATGTTTAACCAAGAGGTGACACTTTTTTTAAGCGCTTAAAGTTAATCAAAGTCACTAAACGTAGAAAATGAATTATGAGAGAGTGACATTGGCCCACCGATCTTGGCCTCACATAATTCTTTTCGCGCGCGCGATCGAAGAATGCTTAATTACCTCTCCACTCCCCGGAAGTGTTAGAAGGTCGGCATCCACTACTCCAGATCTGACTCGTCCCCAGCTGTCTCTCAGTCTCCTATAAATATTAACTAGCAAAGCTTGGTCAAGGGGAGCGCGAGGGGTGATGGGAAGGAGGAAGTATTCCTTTTCCCTCTCTCCTTCCCATCATCCTCTTCGCGGAGATGCCTTAATAGTCTCCCACGACTGTTCCCAACGCAATTTTATCTTGGGAAAATCGCTCAAACACAAAAAGTTGCTTCTCTGTGGGTAAGAACCTGTTTCCCAAGGGTACAATGGCTAAAGTGTAACCAAATCGGTTGAAGTTTGACAAAATTCGCATGGTGCAAAGGCTTTTTCGTTCCTGGGTGCAAAAAAAAGAATTACATCGTCAAAAAAAATTAACAGAGGTGAATAATCTGTTTTCATTTTTGTAATATAATTGTTGAAAGAAGTCTGCCAAAAATTTATGAGCGAGATCTATTTTGTTGGCAAAAATCAGTATAAGGATCCTGCAGAGAATGGCTGTAAAATATCTGTTCGGAGAAGCAAATATTGCCTAGAATTTTCCATGGCTTGAATACGGCTAAAACTCTGTAGATGAGCGTTCCATTCAGGTACAATTTTCGAAGCTTATCTAAAAAATTCCCAACGATTTTCTGAAGTTTAATTTTTCATATGTTACTTTTTATGTTAGGCTAATTTTCGTAGAAAAAGGAAACCTAAAATTTTCGAATTCAAAAGTGTGATTGAGAGAGAAATAAGAAAAATTCTCACTTTCGTAAAACGTTCAATTGCATCTACAATTTTTGGGAAAATAAGACTGGCGCCCTTGCAATTTCGAAAAGCCTCAAGTTCCCCTAGGATGACCAAACAGATACAAATTTTATAGCGCCGCTTAGAATGCATTTCTAGAGATCTAAAAGTACTCTGGGTAGCCTAAGAAGACCCAGGATAACTTTTATTCCAAAAAGTTCCTAGTTGTTTGGTCAGTAACGATTTGTGAATAATACATGTAAAATGTTGAACTCTTCATTTTCAGTGTCTGGCCTACAACTGTATCAATCACGGTAGCTCTTAACAATATTTACTCATGAGTCATGTCATGTTGAGATTAAAAAAATCACGTTTTATTTCCAATCATAGTTGATCTGTAACAGTCTTACCTGCACAGATCCTCCTTAGGCGTATAATTTTTGGCCAAAATCCGTAGGAATATATATTTTTTATTAATAATTTCCTGCTGAAAAATTTTTTTTGGACTTTTGTGCCACCCCCCTCCCCACTCCCTATCACTTTTCTAATGGTCCATCCCTAAATTGTTCAGATTGTTTTGTGAGCCTCGTTGCCAAGAAAGCGCACATGCCGGCTTCTGCGTTTCCGAGAAAAGCGCCTGACTTTCCGCTTACACCTCGACCTGAAAATAACTCTTCACTGGCTATTCATCTCCTCTTCGACGAAACTGAGGTAGACAACACTCAAAAATGCCTGTATTAGGCAAGCGAGCTGCAGACGATACTGTGGATTTAGTTGATGACCAAGTGGGTTTCAAGCTTGCCAAGTTTTGCGGGAAATATCGTCTCCGATTGCTTGTGGGTCTGCTGATATTCCTTGTAATCGCGGGAATAGTTTTTGCTGTTGCGTGGATTCTAACCAGACGTATGTATCATGAATTAATATTAGCTTGTCTTTATGTGGTATTGACCGAACTATTCTAAGTGAAGTTAGCCAGCATCAAGATGCTTAGAAATCATGTACTGTATTCGTAACAAGACACGCTGAATTGCGCTTAATATAATACTCACGTCTGTTTCAATATCAAAGTGCTTGCATCCCAGGCTTGCATGTCAAGTCGGCGATAAACGATAGACTTTATTTTACAAATACCCCAGCTCAGCTCCACTCCGATATTCCAGAAGCCAAAGACAGAACTAGACCAGCGCTGTTAAATACTAAAATAGGGTGTGCCCATTGGGAGCATTGTGAAATAAAGACGCGCATGACACCGAAGAGAAACGGACTTTGTAGGGTTTGAATGATCATTGAAAGCTGGACGACACATCGATAAATTTAGCATCGTGAATTTGTCCATCGGAACCCAATATTGGAACAGAATATCATATAGAGAAGTTTCACATATCCTCATATCCGCATTTGGGTTAAAAATAAACAGTCATTAGTATTCCACATCCCTCACTGCAAACAATTATCGAATAAAATTTTGCCGTTTGAGTAACTATTCGTCCCGTCACTATCATGTCACGCAATGCTTTAAGTCTGCTAAGGCCTTCCTTTTTTTATCTCCGTTTCGCGTCGTCCGACCGACCCAAATTTTTGGCATTTTCAAAAACATAATAATAATAACGACGCAGTTAAACCATTTTTCACTTGAAATAATTCTTCAGTCAAACCAAGTCAAGCGTACCCCACAAGATTCCACGAATTGATTATTTGAACAATGAATCCGTTTAGTAGTCGTTCCCGTAACTGGTGTCAAGTCTGCATGCGTAATGAGCAATGAATATCTTACGAGAACTTCTCTGTATTTGGTCAGATTGGAAATCTTTGAATGGATTAAGCTAAGACATTTACATCAATTTCAGGAAAATGGAGCTGGTAGAAATTTCATAACTGCCTCAACCTCTTTTGACCGGCTCCGCTCGCGGCGGCGATAAATTCCTTGACATTTGCGACATGGAGACAATTCCGCCAGAAACAGATGTCCTGATAAATAACGAACATTTTCCATCATTCACATCGCCAAAATTCCCATTTTGAAGGTCCTAAATCGCCAACGAGGGTGGGCAATACACGTTTAGGCGAGTCGAGAGCAGACCCGCAACGGACTCCAACCGTCAAGTCGACAATTTCAAACCGACGCGGGCTGGCAGGGTCAAATTGTTCAACCGT